TCTTAGCTCGAGGCAGGTTTCAGATTTCAGACGTTGAGCCTTGGCTGAGGCCAGCCGCCCCTGCCTCAGAGCAGTCGACACTGGCGGCTCGCCTGGAAGTTCACTGCATCTGAGGCGCGAATTTGTGGAGCTGTGGGCCCGGCATGGACGAGGGGCGAGATTGAGAAGCCCGCCGGCTCGAAGAGCATGGGGACCTGGACGGCAGCTGCTTCGGCCTTACGTCGCGCTGGCACACATTTCAAACTCTTCTTCACATAGCTGTGTGTCAAAACTGGGGCACCCCTTCGGGGACCGTTGGGGGAGTCAAAATGAAGCCGCCCATTTGAAGGTAGTTGTGACAACTATGCATTTGGATACTGCTTCTCAGGCCTACACGCCGGAGCAGCAGGCCCGGCTAGGCTGGGAAAGGGTTATGATGCTTGTCTCTTGATTTATTGATGTGGAACGATCACAGCTGCACTGAGCCTTGACTCATCTTTGTTCCTCTAACCACATTCCCTGAGTTCGATTGCATTTTTTTGCTCCCGCATCGCTTGCAGTTTTCTGCTTGCTTTAAGGCGAGCTCACCGGGGGGCTTAAACGAGCTCACCATGATGTAGGTTCTTTACTTGGGGAGGATCAAAATTGTAGTAAACATCGCAGGTCTTTGCCATTTGTTAAAGCTCTCGCTATACATATATATATACACAGTGTCTCGGTCGGCTCTCACACATATCTCGTCTATCTTGCAGGTCTTGTATATCACATGTCTTGCACGTCAATGAATGCTGGCAGTTTACAGGTTGCCAACATCTGCTTCGCACAAACGCCCACTTGCCACCGTGGCCAGGTGTGGATGAGTCTGGTGCAAAAGTGACCGTGCCAATCTCAGGAGGTGCGGTTGGGTCAATCCAACAGCTTGCCGTGCAGAAACGAGGGCTTGCAACTTGGTGTGTCATTTGTTGAAGGTACCCTTTTTGGGGTGGCTTTAATGGAACAAAAGGAAGACCACCAACTGTGAAGGCCCCTATTGTGAGACAAACTCGCATGTTCCAAGCTGAGGCGCAAAGGTTAGGAGCTGTGGGCCCGGCATGGACGCGGGGCGAGATTGAGAAGCCCGCCGGCTCGAAGAACATGGGGACCTGGACGGCGAAAGCCGGGGACTTGGCGAAAGCTCGGCGAAAGCGCGTCAAAGGCGCCACCCAAGGTGTACACAGATGAGCAGCAAGCTCGCTTAGGCATGTCCGGGATTTTTTCTTTGGCGGTTGCACACCTGTTCGCGCAGGTGTGGACGAGATGGGGCAAAAAGTGCAGGCTGGGGTCTGAATGGTCGCTGCATGGTTGGCGCATGACAGAATGTGCACGTTTCTTGAGGCTTGGTTCACAAGGAAAGTACAAGCGTTCCCCCTCACCAAGCGGGAACTCCAAAAATGTTTGAACAGTTCAGGGCTCATTTTTCGGGCTTCCCCTTCACCTCCCCCCGGCCGAGGCCGAGGCTGAGCGGCCTGCGAAGGCGGCCGCAGCGCCAGCGCCGGCGCCGGCGCCCGAGGCGCCAAACGCTGCGCTGACCTGCCAGCTTTTTTTATGCGAGCAGCGTTCAACATACCCAGTGGCCAGTGAAAAAGGGGGCTCGCCACCTGGTTTAAGGACGAAGCTCTGACGTCTATACTAGAGCTTTTATAATCATAGTAGAAGCGGGCGTCAACAGGTATTGGGGAGGGGAGGCGCTGCTCATGTGTTGGTTTGACGGCTTGAGTTCGATGGGTTGAGTTTTATGATTGTATGAATGGTATTGATGGTGTGGGTCCCAATTTTGTGAGCATTATATTGAATGGTATTGATGGTTGGACTGCAGCCGACCTCCAACGGCTTGACTGCTCCAAGCATGCCTGGAGTTGGGTCTCTGTTTGAAGGGGTTCCTAACCTGAACATGATCCCAACGCTGCAGCTACCTGGTAACGTATGGGCATTCCCCATGCATGGAGTGTGGACCACGGCTCAAATGAGGCCCGCTGCCGCTCCCATCACCCCACAGCAGCTTGTCTGAATTTTGGCATGACCTTGGGGCAGCCTTCGTGCTGTGTGTCGAATGTTGCCATTTGCATGGACCATCCAGGTATGCTGCTGCGCTGTTGCAGTCTGAAAAGCTGCTGGCTGACATGTGCAAGTATTGGACTCGGCAATTGAGCCCATGCTTGCTCCATGCCCCGTTTTTCTTGCCCAAGCATTGAATGAACCCTACCCTTGATTCACGTAGCACGATCCTCGAGGATGGACAAGAGCTGTTTGGATTTTGAGCTCAGGAAATACTTTCGAAAGTATGATGCAGACAAGGATGGTTGCCTGGAGTCGGTGGCATAGCACACTGTCATTGTGCATCAGATTTCATGCGAGCAGCGCGCAAAAACCCGTTGGCCGTTTTCAGTAGGTGGTTCTACGACCTGGTTTCATAGGGGTTATGGCAAGGCCTACGGGAACCTTTACAACCATCTTAGCAGAATCAAACGTCAATAGGTTTTGGTGCTGCACACATTGCCGTGGGAGGTCGACCTATGGGTCGGGTCGCACATGAGATATTCTGACTTTCTCTCTACAGGCTTGAGGAGATCAAGACTCTTTGCGGGGATCTGCACTTCAGCCGCTGCCTTATTTGGGTCCAATTTGAACAAGCATGGCAAGAAGCGGCAGGGTTTCTGGAGCCGTGAGAGCCTGAAGATGCCAGGAGCTCTTTTGGACAGTGGCTTTCCTTTATTTCCTCGTGAACTTTTTGAGGGTACCCTCTTTGAGAAATCAACAGGGGCACAAGTTTTGGGGGTACCCTTATTTCGAGAACATGGAGCGTGCCATCACCGGTGGTCTTTCAGCAGGTGGCCACGCTCGCTTATTGTCAAGACAGCAAAATGATCTCTAGATTTGTGGCGCCAAGTGCTGAAGCAGCTGTGGTGGGATTTGAAGCCCACTGGAATTTCAGTCGACCTAAACGCCCCATTGATGTCAACTGCCAAAGGCCTCGGCATCGAGCTGGCTGATGTGGCCGCCGTGGGCTCAACCTGGGGTGTAGCTCCCGAAGATGGGGGTGACTTTTCGGTGCAGCAAAGCCCATGAAGTGACAGTGACATCTTTGAAGTGCAAGACTCTGCCTGACACCAGATTGGTGACATTGAAACCAGTCATTCTGTGGTTTCTCCTTCAGACCTCAAACATGTGTCCTCTACCAACACCTGAAGCTGCGTCAAACCTTCTTGTGTTCTCGTCGCGTTGCATTGATAGTCGGTCCCAGCATTGAAGTTTCACGCACTGAGGCTCATGGCTTCGAGGTCTACGACAAGGCCTGGCAATCTCACGCCCCTGCGCTTTCACTCAGGATGCAAAATCACTTGGGACAAAAGCGGGATCAGGCTTCGCAACTAATGTTGCGCAGAGTTGTCACGCCACGGTTTTCGGGTTTTTCCTTTGAACAAAGGTGCAAAGGGCACCCTCGAACACCCACCTAAATGAGGGAACCCGCAACATGGTGGCGTATTCAAAAACTACGTACTTATTAATTATTCAATCTCCGCTACTCCAATCGCAGTTGCAATGTGGTTAAATGAAGTGACCACCACTGCGTATGAGAAGCGTAATGAGTATCGGGTGAAACCTCCCACGTCACAGTTCATGCCACTACTTGCTTGGAACAAACCAAACACTCCTTGCTCAATCTATCGCTTTGCTTAGCCAGTCACACATGTTGGCTACTTGCAATCCGTCTGCCCCCGTTGTGACAAGCAGACCCCTTTGAGCTCAGAAGCGCGGGTCAAGAACACCCTTGGTAGTCGCGGGGCCGCTGCTTCAATATCGTGGATGCATGTCACGCCTTCTATTTTGACACACCCAGGTTGATCACAGGCTGTTCCTCCGCAGGCGCTGGAGGACTCTGTGAAGCCCTACTCAGAAAGCACAGGCGGGAGTTCCATGAGTTGGAGTCTGATCTTCGCTGATAGCGTATGTGCCAAAATCGGGAGCCTACAAAACGGGAGGTGTTCCTTTTGATGCCAGCAACTGTGCATGTGTTTCTGGTCAACTGTGGACCAAAAACACATCAAGTGGCCACGCCCTTTGTGCCGATACAAGAACCAGACCATGCGCTTTAGATGTTGCAGTGGGCATTGGAATGTGAGCTGCGCAAAGTTCAGACGGGGTCAGGAAGACAAGCAGACACAGAAGGCTCCAAGCGGCATTTTGTTCCACTGTTCTCAATCCGGGGGAAATCAAGGAAATCCAACGGATATGCAGGTCCAAACGAAGCGCATGGCGCAGAGCCGAAGATGGGGCAATTTGAAGGCCATGTCGCTCGCCAACCGGAACTGGAAGCGGCCTTGCGCTTTTGTGCCTTCCGTGATTCCGGGAAACCTGAAAAGAGTAGCCAAATCAACCTAAAGGACACCCGTCTCTGAAATGGAAGCCAAACGAACCTCACTGGGGGTTTGTCTTGCACCCGCCAGGTGAAGCCAAGCTCTCTGAGGAGGAGCGAAGTTTGCTTGGGACCATGTGACTTGACGCATGCCCCGGGGTTTCTTTCTCCGGCGACCCGCCATGGCCTGGTTTGCTCAAAATAGCGCGAAGTCTATGCTTAGCCAGGGTTCCACTTTTTGACTACCCCAGGGTAGACTTGAACCCAGGGTGGCCCAGTACCCCAAAAGGGGCACCCCGGAGTTTAAATCTATCTTGGGGTCATAAAGTGAACCCGCTTAGCGACACTAAATTTCCCCCCCAAAGTCACGGGATCAAGTGTTCGCATGTCCGGTACGGGGCGTATTTTGACCGTGGCTCATGCTGCAGGACTTCCCGAAGTGGTTCTCGAAGGTGCTGGAGGACAGAAGCTCACTTTCCCCCCAGCCCCCTTGGAATCGCTTATGTCGAATCCTCCAAAGGTCCCTCTGGTTTGGCACAGATTTCCATGCGAGCAACTTTTGATGCCCACCAATTAATTTGTGGTGACTGCTAGAGCTCATCAGGCGGTGATTGTGTCTGCGATGAACAAACTTCGCAGCGTTGCCACTGAAAGGGCGGTGCATTGCTCACGAACTCTGCTTGTGCACCGTCTTTTTGATGAAGTAAGGCCCCCACGGCAGATGTTGCCAGAGTCTTTCCTGATTTCCACTTCGTCTGGCTTGGCGAAGGCAACTGCGCCATCCACATCGTCCTGTCCTTGTGCTTCTTGGCCAGCTTCCACTCCTTCGGAGGAACGGCCCTTCTTTGCGCGTGCAGGCGCTGCTCTTTTGCTTGTCTTGGCAAGCATTCTGGCCGCTGGTTTTCAAGCCAGCATGCTCGGCTGCACCATATTCCGGCCCAGGCTCTTACGGAAGACTGCCTTGTCCACCTCGCACTGGTCGCCGCAGTTCTGTATGCCCTCTTGCCCGCGTAGCACCACGCCAGCAATGGCCTTTTCGCTCATGCTGATAGTTGCGCGGACAAACCTTCATAGGCTTTGTCCAGGCTGCGTGAAACGTCAGCTTTGCTTGCGCCGCGCGACCGCACACAAGGAGAGGCTGCTCCGTGAGAGGGTGGCAGTAGCAGTTGCAAGCCTGGCGCTCGTAGTGGCGCACCGGAGCCTTGGTTTTTGAGCGCGTCGGGCAGCTTCTCCCTGATCACATCAAGAGCTCTCCTTGCACTTCAGGCTTGTCTTTCAAGTCAAGTGCCCAGTTCCCTGCAAGTGCTTGGTCAAGTCCCTTGCAGATACCTGAGCCAGTTGAGCACCGGCAACACTGAGATAGGTGCGGGTACCCTTCTCTATGTGCTTGCGTCTGCCATGCACACCTCGGCTTCGTGCAGCCGCCCGCTTCCGCGGTGCCATGGCCACATGGGCATGGCCTACGACCTGCGAGCCAACATATCAAATGAGTGCTATGGCCAGCACTTCAATCACGCACCAAGCAACCTTTTGGGCACGGCCAGTCGCTGCTCCCTCATCTTGATAGGGAGCAGTCGAAGCTATGCCATCGGAAATGGCTTCTGAACAAAGCATCTTTTTGACTCGTGCTCTTTAAACCTAATTATACGCGGGAACAGAATAGAACTAAGGATCCCTTCCGCCCTCCCCTTGTGACGATCCATGGCCGAAATTGGCACCCGTGCTTTTGGCAGCGCCCCCCAAGAAGGCTGACGTAGCACGCTCTTTGCCTCTTCTCATCCGACACTGCCGCTGCGCGAGCGCAGCGGTAACTGCAAAGCCCTTGGCGGAGCGTCAGCAACTGGGATGTTATCCAGATGCGGAGTCCTATCTCGCTTGCTCTTGCCACTCCAGATTAACTCGGTTGCCAAATGTCGAAGCAGATGCATGCAAATCATCATCTTCAATCTTACCAGCTACTGTACTGACAGGGGCTGCGTGGGTATAACCATCTTGGTGGTGTATGTTCCCCGCGGAGCGTGGTGTGGATATACCCACTTGGGTGGCCGGGGTTTGCCAGGAGCGTGGACTCACTAAGATGGTATATCCTTGAACGCGATATAGCCGTTTTGATGGTGTCCTAAAAATGGCTGTGGGCCCTGAAGTGACGGCGAGCATGAACATCACCCTGGCGAGGCAGGCAAACGCTCTCCTATGGCTCCTGGACAAGCCAATGCACATACACAACATTCGCTGTCCGCAATCCCTTGCCTCCGGTTTATGCAGCCGCCGAACGGACAAAGGTGAAACAGGCACTCTCATACATTCAAAATAAGAACCTGATTTTGCTTAGTTCTCGTTTCGGAGCCATAGGCCGGGAGAAGATTGCTTGCGGACTCCGGGGCGCTTCATGAACGTGGCTACACCAATGAACTTGTTTCAAAGCCTGGACGCAAGGCTTCAGCTCAGCTTACGAAGCGCAAGCTTGCCATTGCTTCTTGATGGCTCGTGCAAAACCAGCTGACAACTTTGCAAACAGTGACTGCCGGGAGCTAGTTTCTGTGTTGCTGTGCGCGCAAGCGCGGCAACGGGGCCGAAACCGGGAACAAACACGTGGGACGATACCGATACCGGCATATGCATATAGATGGAAAGATAGATAGATAGATAGATAGATAGATAGATAGATAGATAGATACATAGATAGACAGACAGGCAGACAGACAGATAGACAGACAGACAGACAGACAGACAAATACACAGACAGACGAATACACAGACAGACAAATAGGCAGATAGACAGATAGATCGATCGATAGATAGATAGATAGATAAACAGATACATAGAAAGATAGATAGCTAGCTAGATAGATAGTTGGCTAGATAGATAGATAAGATAAGATACGATACCATACGAGAAGCTAGGATAAGATAAGACAAGATAAGAAAGATAGACCGATAGACAGATAGACAGATAGATAGATAGAGAGATGGACAGATACACAGATAGATAGATGGATGGATGGATGGATAGATAGATAGATAGATAGATAGCAAGACATCGATAGATCGATAGCTAGACATCGATAGATAGATAGTTTGATCGATAGATAGATAGATGGATAGATACATAGATAGATAGATAGATAGATAGATAGATAGATAGATAGATAGATAGATATATAGATATATAGATATATAGATATATAGATATATAGATTGATAGATGGATATATATATATATATATATATATAGACATATATATATATATATATTGATGGACAGATAGATAGATCGACAGACAGACAGACAGACAGACAGACAGACAGATAGATAGATAGATAGATGTATTGCTCGCGGACATTTCATGTATGTATGTATATATATATATATATATGCATAAGTGCCATGCAGGACAACGTTAAGGCGCAGCTGGCAAAGGAGCAGCCAAAGCAGGAGCCGGCGGCTCAGAGGCTCGCAGATGCCCATCATAAAGTCCTCGGAATGTTCAATTCCCGGTCGGCATGGCCAGACGTTGGTTTTGGCTGCCCACAGCTGCGGCTTGCGGGTTCTAGATTTCAAGCATAGAGGGAATCTTGTTTGTGCAGTGATTGAGTCCTAGGTCCGAGATCCTGCTGCTCAAGGCTGGACACGGCTCAAGCACCGACTCGACCGATCATGAACCAGTTCAATGTGGCATAGCCGTATTTCTTGGCAACAACTTGTGCGATGCAGTACAAAAGGCTGAAGGCAACATATTGCCATTGAGATTTGATTCATATTTGCAACGAGCATTCGTTGACACAGCCAATGGGAGTGTCCTGCTTGAAATGCAGCATGGCAAAAGATTCTGTGCTTCCTGAAATGAGCCAGCATTGTTTGTCTTTTTTCAAGTCTCGGAAAGCAGGGGGAGGGACCATTGCAAAAGGACAGTACTGTCAACTGGCAACATGTTGGCCATCCAAGAAGTAACGTCTATGAGCATCTGCAGCAAAGGGTGCGCTTGCCCGCGTGAATTTGCCCTGGTGTTCTTATCTCGCTTACGCTCAAAAGGAGTGTTTGGTGCGGCAGTGGTTGTATGCACACAGACAGCTTCCTGAGCTTGACAGATTTCTGTCCCACCAAGCCAGGATGACGGGAGCATGTGGAGCACGAACTGAGCACACTCCTCTACACATACATGTCCAAGGTTTTTACGCCGCTATTGCAAGACCCAAACACCTGGTGGGTGGCATTTTGGAGAAAGCCATTTTAAGGATTCATAAACAAGTTGCTTCCATCTTGGGCAACCATGCAGTTGAGTACCTCAAACAGGCACACACACACACACACATCCCGTTGATCAGGTGAAGGCTGTCAGCGGGGCTAGCACGACCGTGGAGGCGATCGGTCGTTTGTTGCGGTGAGGGAATCTGCCAACCAGCATTTGCTTACGTATGCCGAACTTGGTTGTTTGATTCTTAACTCCAAGGGCTTCCCCGGTCAGGTTGGGTGCGGGTTTGGATGTGATTTAGTCTGCAACTGGCGGAACCCTCCATGTGCTGGTTTGCTTTGGTGTCCCTTTCACTCCAAACAGCAAACAGGTTGTCCGAATTGGTCTCTCCCTCTGCGGCAGCTTGGGGGGTCCAAGCAAAAAGAACGGCCATCTTTTGGACGCAGACTCCCATGCGGCATTGTGTCCCAAAATCGAAGCCGGCCGCTTCTTTGGGCCCCTCCCGTGTTTCGGAGGTCCCCGCCTCCGCCACGGTGGCGGACTTCGCGGAGATGGCCTCGGCGGCGTTGGACCTGCCCTCGGCCAAGACGAAGATCACCACCGGGGGCGAGGCGCGGATCCGAGCCGCGGATCCGGCGCTTTCGCGGAGTGGGCGGATGGGATCGGAGCAGACAATTCGTGGCGCGTTTCTTTTTTTTTGTGCGGTTTAACCGGGGGAGACCGGATGGAGCTGGACTTGAAGGTCTTCTGGGGGAAATGGCAAAATACCAAACCACTTGGCGGGAGGGTCATCATGGAACCATGGTTGTGGGGGCAATGATTCCGTGTTTCACGGGTTTTGGACACTTCAGCTGCTTGGGAGGGAATGGCAGTGAAATTGCTTTTTAGCGTTTCCAGTTTCTGTGATACCAATGGAATCCCTTCAAAGCGACAAAGTGGAATTGACCCATATTGGTATCACAGACGGCGCGAACCGAAAAAGAAGCCGCATCGAGCATCCAACCACCATGTTAGCTGTTTGTGCACCAATGGCGCGGCCGGACACCCACGTCATTTGTCGGACGCCGCCAGGTCCTGTCAGACTCCCTGAAGCTGGCAGACGCCAAGCTGGATTCTGGCTCAGAGCTGACCGCCGTGGTGATGAACACCATCAAGGCGGGGGTCACATGAGCTTCGGCGAGCATTCTCTGGTTCGGTTGGGAGGAAGACGGGGGACTCGCTACATTTCCCACATAAACCGGGGACTCACTACACTTGCCATGTCCTCTTGGCTCAAATCGACTAGACCGGGAGCAGGTCAAGCGGCACGTGTACAATGCGCAAGTGGCTTAGACTGCTGCACGTGTGATATGCAGTGTGTGCGAATGCAGGCATGCCGGTGTGTCGCGGGCACACTTGTGTTGGGCCACGCTCACTGTCTCCTGCGTTTTGGTCATTGGCGGCATGATTGGCAAGGGGCCCTCTCAATACTTTGCGAACTGCAACAGGTGAGGTTGGCTTCCGCAGCTGCATGGGAACACGGGGGTTGGCTTTCCGTGCCTGGCTCCATCGTCTCGTCCCCTCCAGTGCCACACCCCACAAGGATTTTGATCCTGGATCATGTGCGATGCCTCACAACGGCTCAGGCGGGGGGGCGCTCCACCGTACAGAGGCTACAACTTGGTGGCTTCCGACGAGGCGAAGCTTGGGACGACGAATTTTGTTTGGCGGGACACGCGCTTGGTGCACTTGTGGGACGAAATCGGAGGAACCTGGCCCTTCATTCGGCCGGATTTGAGCTCCTGACAGTCTCCGAAACAGGTGGCTCTTGAGAGAAAAGTGACTGCAGATCCATTTGGTTCAAAACGAGGGACTCGGACCCCTGTCAGCTGGGCGGGGCAAACACCAAAAGGGACACTTTGGCCCTTATCACATCCGGTTGCAGGGCCACCAAGCAAGCAGCAGGGCCTTCTGCTTGCTGCTTTTGGAACATACACACACAGACACACAGAGAGACAGAGACACAGAGAAGGCAAAGAGAAGGCACAGGGAAGGCACAGAGAAGGCACAGAGAAGGCACAGAGAAGGCACAGAGAAGACACAGAGACGGCACAGGGAAGGCACAGGGAAGGCACAGGGAAGGCACAGGGGAAGGCACAGAGAAGGCACAGAGAAGGCACAGAAAAGGCACAGGGAAGGCACAGAGAAGGCACAGGGGCTGCACGCCCACGCGCACACGCATGCACGTACGCGCATGCACACGTGCATGCACATGCACAAAACCAAACACAGGTCACACACACACACATACCTACAGCTGCAGGTAGAGCTCCTGGCGGCTTCGCCTCTGAAAGACGAGTGGGACAAACTGGCAAGCCCCTGGCTTCGCCTGGTTTTCGCATATTCGCTTCCTTTTTCCGCCATTGGGCACCGGTATTGGAGCCAACCGAGTGGCGGGGTTCCAACTCCAAAGTGTTTCGGACACAAGGCGGCATGGCGAGTGCATGTCTGCCGCGCAAGCATCTTGGGATTGACTGTATCATGACATGGCCCACAAGTGAGGATCCGGGGATGTGTCAAGAATTTGGCCCAAAAAAAGACGCCAACATCAACCATTCTGAGAGGTCCCTACTCTCGCCACATTCTGCGTTGGAGGTACCTGGCGACGGATACCCTGGCGAAGCAACAAAGTTTTCTCCGACGGTGCTGGCCGGCTCCTCAGGTTACAAGTCCGCTTTTAACTGCACAGATCACGACACACCCAATTGTCGGCTGTTTGGTTTTTGGCCGCACACAAGCGCTGCAGGCCTTCCAAGCCACGCCAAGCGCACAAGTGCCACGAAAATGGGAAGGTGGCATGAACGAGGCCCAGGGTTGAGAGCTGAAGCCAATATGTTTGGCGCTTTTGCAATTCCGTTGAGTGAGGGAGCCTTGTGAGCCCCAGGCCTCTGTTCATTGGGAGGCAACCGGCGCATTGCTGAGACATGCGGGCAGGTCCCTGTCAGCGAGACTAGCACGGCGGAGGAAACCTTTGGTACAGATGGTGAAGCTCGGAGCCCGGCATTCCTTCATTTGCAAGTGGAATCAGAGGCCCGGGCAACAAAATCTGAGGTCGAGCTTGCCATTCTCATACCGATGCGGGGCTTTGACTGAGGCAGGTCGTGTTCGTTACATTATTTGCCGCGACCACACGGCACAGCTCTCCGCGCAAAAATGCGCGCAGCAACGCCAAGCACACAGTGCCAGACTTCATTTGCCAGAAGCATGGAGGGATCTGACCACGTTGCCTGAATGGGACACATACCTTTATTGGCCATGGCGCCATGTGCAATCTTCTGGCGGTTTTCGCTTTTTTTTTAGGCGCAAGTCGGCCTTTTGGGTTCAGGGCCAAGCCACGAAAACGGCCGTCTCCGGAGCGAGGGTCGTGCTGCCGGAACGCCCGCCATGTGGGCCGTGGCGCGGGTCTACTCGGGGATGTCCGCGCGGGCATCCCGCAGCTTCGCCACCAAGGAGCTGCTCTCTGTGTCGGATGTGCGGAAGGGCATGATCCTCAGGATGGAGGACAAGTACTGCCAGGTGGGACACGGAGGTTGCACTTTGGCCTCCACAATATAAACCTGGAAAACGGGGGGTCCCTTCAAGTTTCACATGCTGAAGATGGCTCATGGCTGGTGAAAGGAGGTCTGTTCACCAAGTCAGTTTCTGAAGCTTCAAGGGGTGGTGAGATGTCATAAAGCTAGGCTCTCAACATTTCCTTTCCGGGGTGGTTTTCGTTTTTTGGGTAGGCTGAACTGCCAGGTGAAAGACTGGCAGCAGCACAAGCAGGGCCGCGGAGCTGCGTCCTTCCACCTGACGTGGGATGAGCTGGAGACGGGCAAGGAGCAGATGCGGAAGTTCGGCGCCGGCGTGCGCTTCACCAAGGTGGAGCCTGACCGGCAGTCCTTGCAGGCGATGGCCGAGATGGGCGCTCCATCCAGAGAATGAAGGGGTAGATGTGGGGTAAAAGTGATCCCACAGTTCTTTTTGGGCGAGGTCTAGGGCCTTCATTGTTTTTGGGGTGGGTGGGGGGGGGGGGGTTGTGACCCCAACTTTTTGAATGCGGTTTTTCAGCAGGTGATGTACGTGAAGGGCTCTGGTTCAGAGGAGAAGATTGTGGTCCTTGCCGATGAGGACTACAACGAGCTTGAGATCCCGTTGGCGAGATTTCATGGCTCGAAGATTGACGAGGGTGCAACGGTGACCCTTTGGAAGGACGACGAGGAGATCGTAAAGGTGACCGTGAAGCACTGAAGCAGTGGCCCAACGGTCGTCTGTTTCGTTTTGCTGAGCAATTTTCACGCGCACGGTGCTGTCGGATAGCTTTGCCAATGTACAGGCGTCCGAGACAGGAGTTGGACGGAAACAGAAGTGCACGAAGCACACAACTGTTTTTTTTTGAATTGCCGATGTTTTCTTCGGTGCTTTTGTGCTTCTCGCTCATTCTCTGCACTCTTCGGCTCGTTGGCTGCTTGTTTTCCGAGAGAAGTCACATTGAACATGCTAAGCCAGACACCTGCCGCTTCACTCGGATTTGCTCTCGTGAGCAGTGAATCGGCTGCTGATGTTGTGAGTTAGCACTGGTGACTCGCTCCCAGCCCCGGGCACATCATGGCGGAACCCACGGCACCTGACCCGCTGCTGGCAGGCGAGGGCGCGAGATCTGCCGTGCCGGTGGCGCTTGGGGAATTATTTCACAGCCCCCAGGAAAGATCCACGCGCTCTTCCTGCAGATCGACCAGGGGGACAAGGCTCGTGTGAAGTGTGATGCTGGGCCCTGTGCGGGGTAAAGGGAAACCGCTTCGAAACTTCAAGCGCCCACAGCTGACATACCCGCTTCCGGAACTCAGGATGGGGCATTTGTCATCCAGCCTTCCCTTTCCTCAAGCTTCAGGCATCAGAGTCACAGTCAAATCCAACGGCCACCTTTGTCTTCTTTGAATACAGGTATTCAACACATGCCCGCAGCACTATTTGGTGGCTTCTAAATGGAAGCAACATGAAACCAGCAAAATGGAGAGCTTCCGTACTTTGCTTCTTGCGAGGCAACCTGTGCAGGATCATACAGGTGGGAGGGCCGTTGAAATAGCCCTGCTCAAGCCATTTGGTTCAAGGTGACGATCGCTCCAGTACTTCGGATTGTCGTTAGTCCCCAACGACATGAAGCTCTTCGCCCTTGTGCTGGCTGTGGCTTTTGCCATGGTTAGTGGTGACGAGGTGCAGCATCTCCGCGGAGAGTCAAAGAGTGCCACGAAGGATGAGGAGTCTCCGGCAGTGGGAGCTGTGGTGGCAGAGCCGAAAGAGCCGAAAGAGCCGCAGAGCACCATGGACCAAGTGCCGAAGCCTGCAGGAGATGTGGACAAGGAGGAGTCCAAGGGTGCAGTAGGGCCGAAAGCTGGAAAGCTGGATAGCCCGAAAGAGACAGAGCCTGACGTTGGAGTGGTTTTCGAGGAAGTGGAGGGCACTGAGGAGGAAGCTGAGGACGAGACATCCGAGAAGGAGAAAGCGGCACACCGCCCTGGCAGGAGACGACCCTGGGGCCCGAGCCGTCGGCGCCCGCATGGTGCTGGCTGCAGGCGTTGGGTCAACTGCCGCAACGGCTGGTACGGAGGCGTCCGTTGCAGTGGCGGTCGTCATTGCACAGCCTGGCGTTGAGTGAGGTGAGCGCAGCTGGAGTGGGTCATTTCGAATTTAGCTTAGTGCACGACCGTGCACGACCTCGTGTTGCGACATGAAGCGGCACATCTTGTAAAGGCCAACTGTTATGAATCTGGTGGCACAATGCCACTGGAATTCACGGTATGCGAAGACCTTAGTATATACGGGCGGGCCTGGGGAGAGCCCTGGTTCCCTATACAGATCAAGCCTCGCCAGCGCCCACGCGATGCAAGCTGAAGGTCGAAGGTTTCGTTATGGAAAGAAGTATTTTCAGCCACCCTGCAGCCATGACTTTGCGGCAGCCCTTTTCTTTTGTTGTTTCATGACATTGAGAAGCGCGGTGTTTAAATATCTCGTATGGTGAATGAAGGGCCCTCAGAATCTGCTTGTGTCCCGAAAGATTATATTTTGATATTCCCACCTAGTGTCCCAATCTTTTCAATGGAAACAAACATGAAACCAGCAAATTGGAAGGCTTCCATACTTTGCTTCTTGCGAGGCAACCTGTGCAGGATCATACAGATGGGAGGGCCGTTGAAATAGCCCTGCTCACGCCATTTGGTTCAAGGTGACGATCGCTCCAGTACTTCGGATTGTCGCTAGTCCCCAACGACATGAAGCTCTTCGCCCTTGTGCTGGCTGTGGCTTTTGCCATGGTTAGTGGTGACGAGGTGCAGCATCTCCGCGGAGAGTCAAAGAGTGCCACGAAGGATGAGGAGTCTCCGGCAGTGGGAGCTGTGGTGGCAGAGCCGAAAGAGCCGAAAGAGCCGCAGAGCACCATGGACCAAGTGCCGAAGCCTGCAGGAGATGTGGACAAGGAGGAGTCCAAGGGTGCAGTAGGGCCGAAAGCTGGAAAGCTGGATAGCCCGAAAGAGACAGAGCCTGACGTTGGAGTGGTTTTCGAGGAAGTGGAGGGCACTGAGGAGGAAGCTGAGGACGAGACATCCGAGAAGGAGAAAGCGGCGCACCGCCCTGGCAGGAGACGACCCTGGGGCCCGAGCCGTCGGCGCCCGCATGGTGCTGGCTGCAGGCGTTGGGTCAACTGCCGCAACGGCTGGTACGGAGGCGTCCGTTGCAGTGGCGGTCGTCATTGCACAGCCTGGCGTTGAGTGAGGTGAGCGCAGCTGGAGTGGGTCACTTCGAATTTAGCTTAGTGCACGACCGTGCACGACTTCGTGTTGCGACATGAAGCGGCACATCTTGTAAAGGCCAACTGTTATGAATCTGGTGGCACAATGCCACTGGAATTCACGGTATGCGAAGACCTTAGTATATCCGGGCGGGCCTGGGGAGAGCCCTGGTTCCCTATACAGATCAAGCCTCGCCAGCGCCCACGCGATGCAAGCTGAAGGTCGAAGGTTTCGTTATGGAAAGAAGAAATTCAGCCACCCTGCAGCCATGACTTTGCGGCAGCCCTTTTCTTTTGTTGTTTCGCGACATTGAGCAGCGCGGTGTTTAAATATCTTGGAATGATGGATGAAGGGCCCCAAGTCCCGCCCGAAAGATGATATTTCGATATTCCCACCAAGTGTCCCAACATGAGGAACAGTATTTGGTGGCCTCTCAACGGAAACAAACATGAAACCAGCAAATTGGAGGGCTTCCGTATTTTGCTTCTTGCGAGGCAACCTGTGCAGGATCATACGGGTGGGCGGGCCGTTGAAATAGCCCTGCTCACGCCATTTGGTTCAAGGTGACGATCGCTCCAGTACTTCGGATTGTCGTTAGTCCCCAACGACATGAAGCTTTTCGCCCTTGTGCTGGCTGTGGCTATTGCCATGGTTAGTGGTGACGAGGTGCAGCATCTCCGCGGAGAGTCAAAGAGTGCCACGAAGGATGAGGAGTCTCCGGCAGTGGGAGCTGTGGTGGCAGAGCCGAAAGAGCCGAAAGAGCCGCAGAGCACCATGGACCAAGTGCCGAAGCCTGCAGGAGATGTGGACAAGGAGGAGTCCAAGGGTGCAGTAGGGCCGAAAGCTGGAAAGCTGGATAGCCCGAAAGAGACAGAGCCTGACGTTGGAGTGGTTTTCGAGGAAGTGGAGGGCACTGAGGAGGAAGCTGAGGACGAGACATCCGAGAAGGAGAAAGCGGCGCACCGCCCTGGCAGGAGACGACCCTGGGGCCCGAGCCGTCGGCGCCCGCATGGTGCTGGCTGCAGGCGTTGGGTCAACTGCCGCAACGGCTGGTACGGAGGCGTCCGTTGCAGTGGCGGTCGTCATTGCACAGCCTGGCGTTGAGTGAGGTGAGCGCAGCTGGAGTGGGTCACTTCGAATTTAGCTTAGTGCACGACCGTGCACGACTTCGTGTTGCGACATGAAGCGGCGCATCTTGTAAAGGCCAACTGTTATGAATCTGGTGGCACAATGCCACTGGAATTCACGGTATGCGAAGACCTTAGTATATCCGGGCGGGCCTGGGGAGAGCCCTGGTTCCCTATACAGATCAAGCCTCGCCAGCGCCCACGCGATGCAAGCTGAAGGTCGAAGGTTTCGTTATTGAAAGAATAAATTCAGCCACCCTGCAGCCATGACTTTGCGGCAGCCCTTTTCTTTTGTTGTTTCGCGACATTGAGCAGCGCGGTGTTTAAATATCTTGGAATGATGGATGAAGGGCCCCAAGAATCTGCTTGTGTCCCGCCCGAAAGATGATATTCCGATATTCCCACCAAGTGTCCCAACATGAGGAACAGTATTTGGTGGCCTCTCAACGGAAACAAGCATGAAACCAGAGAGCTTCCGTACTTTGCTTCTTGCGAGGCAACCTGTGCAGGATCATACAGGTGGGAGGCCCGTTGAAATAGCCCTGCTCACGCCATTTGGTTCAAGGTGACGATCGCTCCAGTACTTCGGATTGTCGCTAGTCCCCAACGACATGAAGCTCTTCGCCCTTGTGCTGGCTGTGGCTTTTGCCATGGTTAGTGGTGATGAGGTGCAGCATCTCCGCGGAGAGTCAAAGAGTGCCGCGAAGGATGAGGAGTCTCCGGCAGTGGGAGCTGTGGTGGCAGAGCCGAAAGAGCCGAAAGAGCCGCAGAGCACCATGGACCAAGTGCCGAAGCCTGCAGGAGATGTGGACAAGGAGGAGTCCAAGGGTGCAGTAGGGCCGAAAGCTGGAAAGCTGGATAGCCCGAAAGAGACAGAGCCTGACGTTGGAGTGGTTTTCGAGGAAGTGGAGGGCACTGAGGAGGAAGCTGAGGACGAGACATCCGAGAAGGAGAAAGCGGCACACCGCCCTGGCAGGAGACGACCCTGGGGCCCGAGCCGTCGGCGCCCGCATGGTGCTGGCTGCAGGCGTTGGGTCAACTGCCGCAACGGCTGGTACGGAGGCGTCCGTTGCAGTGGCGGTCGTCATTGCACAGCCTGGCGTTGAGTGAGGTGAGCGCAGCTGGAGTGGGTCACTTCGAATTTAGCTTAGTGCACGACAGTGCACGACTTCGTGTTGCGACATGAAGCGGCACATCTTGTAAAGGCCAACTGTGATGAATCTGGTGGCACAATGCCACTTGAATTCACGGTATGCGAAGACCTTAGTATATCCGGGCGGGCCTGGGGAGAGCCCTGGTTCCCTATACAGATCAAGCCTCGCCAGCGCCCACACGATGCAAGCTGAAGGTCGAAGGTTTCGTTACGGAAAGAAGCATTTTCAGCCACCCTGCAGCCATGACTTTGCGGCAGCCCTTTTCTTTGTTGTTTCGTGACATTGAGCAGCGCGGTGTTTAAATATCTTGGAATGATGGATGAAGGGCCCCAAGAATCTGCTTGTGTCCCGAAAGATGATATTCCGATATTCCCACCAAGTGTCCCAACATGAGGAACAGTATTTGGTGGCTTCTCAACGGAAACAAACATGAAACCAGCAAATTGGAGAGCTTCCGTACTTTGCTTCTTGCGAGGCAACCTGTGCAGGATCATACGGGTGGGAGGGCCGTTGAAATAGCCCTGCTCACGCCATTTGGTTCAAGGTGACGATCGCTCCAGTACTTCGGATTGTCGTTAGTCCCCAACGACATGAAGCTTTTCGCCCTTGTGCTGGCTGTGGCTATTGCCATGGTTAGTGGTGATGAGGTGCAGCATCTCCGCGGAGAGTCAAAGAGTGCCACGAAGGATGAGGAGTCTCCGGCAGTGGGAGCTGTGGTGGCAGAGCCGAAAGAGCCGAAAGAGCCGCAGAGCACCATGGACCAAGTGCCGAAGCCTGCAGGAGATGTGGACAAGGAGGAGTCCAAGGGTGCAGTAGGGCCGAAAGCTGGAAAGCTGGATAGCCCGAAAGAGACAGAGCCTGACGTTGGAGTGGTTTTCGAGGAAGTGGAGGGCACTGAGGAGGAAGCTGAGGACGAGACATCCGAGAAGGAGAAAGCGGCACACCGCCCTGGCAGGAGACGACCCTGGGGCCCGAGCCGTCGGCGCCCGCATGGTGCTGGCTGCAGGCGTTGGGTCAACTGCCGCAACGGCTGGTACGGAGGCGTCCGTTGCAGTGGCGGTCGTCATTGCACAGCCTGGCGTTGAGTGAGGTGAGCGCAGCTGGAGTGGGTCATTTTGAATTTAGCTTAGTGCACGACAGTGCGCGACTTCGTGTTGCCACATGAAGCGGCACATCTTGTAAAGGCCAACTGTTATGAATCTGGTGGCACAATGCCACTTGAATTCACGGTATGCGAAGACCTTAGTATACACGGGCGGGCCTGGGGAGAGCCCTGGTTCCCTATACAGATCAAGCCTCGCCAGCGCCCACATGACGCAAGCTGAAGGTCGAAGGTTTCGTTACGGAAAGAAGCATTCTCAGCCACCCTGCAGCCATGACTTTGCGGCAGCCCTTTTCTTTGTTGTTTCGTGACATTGAGCAGCGCGGTGTTTAAATATCTTGGAATGATGGATGAAGGGCCCCAAGAATCTGCTTGTGTCCCGAAAGATGATATTCCGATATTCCCACCAAGTGTCCCAACATGAGGAACAGTATTTGGTGGCTTCTCAACGGAAACAAACATGAAACCAGCAAATTGGAGGGCTTCCGTACTTTGCTTCTTGCGAGGCAACCTGTGCAGGATCATACAGGTGGGAGGGCCGTTGAAATAGCCCTGCTCACGCCATTTGGTTCAAGGTGACGATCGCTCCAGTACTTCGGATTGTCGCTAGTCCCCAACGACATGAAGCTCTTCGCCCTTGTGCTGGCTGTGGCTTTTGCCATGGTTAGTGGTGATGAGGTGCAGCATCTCCGCGGAGAGTCAAAGAGTGCCGCGAAGGATGAGGAGTCTCCGGCAGTGGGAGCTGTGGTGGCAGAGCCGAAAGAGCCGAAAGAGCCGCAGAGCACCATGGACCAAGTGCCGAAGCCTGCAGGAGATGTGGACAAGGAGGAGTCCAAGGGTGCAGTAGGGCCGAAAGCTGGAAAGCTGGATAGCCCGAAAGAGACAGAGCCTGACGTTGGAGTGGTTTTCGAGGAAGTGGAGGGCACTGAGGAGGAAGCTGAGGACGAGACATCCGAGAAGGAGAAAGCGGCACACCGCCCTGGCAGGAGACGACCCTGGGGCCCGAGCCGTCGGCGCCCGCATGGTGCTGGCTGCAGGCGTTGGGTCAACTGCCGCAACGGCTGGTACGGAGGCGTCCGTTGCAGTGGCGGTCGTCATTGCACAGCCTGGCGTTGAGTGAGGTGAGCGCAGCTGGAGTGGGTCACTTCGAATTTAGCTTAGTGCACGACAGTGCACGACTTCGTGTTGCGACATGAAGCGGCACATCTTGTAAAGGCCAACTGTTATGAATCTGGTGGCACAATGCCACTTGAATTCACGGTATGCGAAGACCTTAGTATCTACGGGCGGGCTTGGGGAGAGCCCTGGTTCCCTATACAGATCAAGCCTCGCCAGCGCCCACGCGATGCAAGCTGAAGGTCGAAGCTTTCGCTACAAAAAGAAGAAGCATTTTCAGCCACCCTGCAGCCATGACTTTGCGGCAGGCCTTTTCTTTGTTGTTTCGTGACATTGAGCAGCGCGGTGTTTAACCCTCCACATATCCTTTTGTTAAACACATTTTGGCAACCCCCCCCCCCCATGTTATGCGTCCAGCTGCACTTGGGACACAGTGGGACTCGCAATTTTTTGGAACAGCCAGACCACCCAATTTTCCAACTTTCTTGAAAAGGGATAAGGGCCAACAAACCAGGTTCTAGAGCACCCAGTATTCCCATTTTTACAGGGAAGAACGAAGCCACATCCTCCCAAACCCCAGGTTTTCTAGACCCATGCTGTTTCATTCCTTGGTTGGAGTTGCCACCAAGCCCGAACGGAGGCCGCCGTGGTCGAGTCCTTGGAGCGGGACTTCGACGGGGACACCGAGCTGGCGGATGAGCGGGGCACCACTCCGCTGCTCCTGGCCTCGGCGCTGGGCAAGGCGGAGATCGTGGAGGCCTTGATGGAGAGGAGCGGAGGGGTGGAGTTTGGTCTGTTGTCAAGACCAATGGGATCCCATTGTCGGGGTCTTCGGTGCACCCGCTTTAGCCTATTTAATGGTGCCATTTTGGTTGGTAGGTGAATTCACCACCCATTTTGGATCCTATTTTAGTGGTTGAATGTGGGATGTTCTCTGGGGGTATGGGAGTTTGACCCATGGCCGTACTCGCGATGAGTGGTGCTTGTTTCGCCATCCATCGGGCAGCGGAGAATCTCGGAATTCGGGCGGGGGGGGAGTGGAATTCATGTTTGGCCCCCTTAGCCGCGCGGAATTCACGTTTTGCCACCACCAATTGGTATTGGACAAATGGATCCCGTAGAAGTGCCGCGGAAAAGGCTTCGGCCAAGAACCCTGAAGGAGGGCGGATCTGATGGCTGGGGATGTGGAGGGCGACAATGCGCTCATGATGGCGGTGGCCCAGAACCACGCCGACATCGTTCCCCGGTCCTCAAGAAAAAGGTGGTGTGCATTTCAACTGAGGAATGAGTGGTGGACATCATGTGGGCGGCGATTCATGTTTAGAATCTTTGGAAGTTGTTCGCTATTGAAATTCATAGCCGAAGATGTGTGCCCTGGCCCAAGATACCCGAAATGGGGCCTTGGACCTACAGACCTTGAATCCTAAGGTCTTGGGGTTCCAGGCTTGTCGTAGCGTTTCTCTTTTTGCTTTGGCACCGGCAAGGTTCGGAAGCTCCTGGATGCATCTAGCAGCCATTCTCTTAGAGTCGCGGTTAGATTCGTTGTGACATGTTGCCGTGGGGGGGGGGGGGGACATGCTGTAGGTGTTGATCCGGACGTGCAAAACAAGATTGGTCAGACGGCGCTGATGAAGGCAGGAGAAGCTATCAAGTGTTGCAAAAAGGGGAAATGGGGCAGACTCACCAAATCTGCCAACTGGGTTGCTCCTCCATTTCGCATATCAGTTGGGAACCTATGCTTTGGTGTATTGTCTGGGATCGTTGCAAGTTGTAGATGTCACCAAACAATTCAGCATTCCACATGGCCGCTCTCCAACAGGCAGCGAGCAAGCGCAACATGGACTGCGCGGCAGCCTCAATTCTCGCTGCCTCGGGCAGTTCCCCTCACATTTCGAGTCTGCTTTTGTTGGCCCTACGGTGGACAAGAGTCACACTGCATGCAAGCAGGCCGTTTTCTCCCACTCACGCGTGCCTTTTGCCCCAAGGTGAGAATGCTTCTTGATGCCGGAGCAAATCTGAATACCAAGCCTTGCGCTGAGTAAGGCCGACGTGGGTGACGCTACTGATCAGCTCAGTCGCCCAGAGCAGAAGGGAAAAGTCCACGGCTCCTGCTTGGGAAGCTTTTCCCACTCAGGGAATGTTTCTCCACGAGTCTCTCCTATCGACCCTATTTTCACAGCTCCCTTTGCTGGTGGGGGCTCATTCGAAATCAGGTCCCTTGTTGCCCCACCTTTTTTGGTCGCGGGGGGAACCGGGTTTTAACTGGTTTGCACGGGAAGCCAACGGAAGTGAGGTCGAAGGGGGGGAAGACGGCGCTGGTGGAGGCGGCGGAGAAGAACAATTTGGAGGTGGCGCAGGTGCTACTGACCCTTAGCAGCAGGGGAGGGGTAGCAAAGGGGTCAGTTGATGGCACTAAAATGGAGCCAGCCGGGTGTGTCAATGCATTCGGAGCAAGAGTACCATTGGCAAGATGCCGAGTAGCACGATGTTTGTTCGATCCATCAGCTAAGTGTGAAGTGTTTTACAATTCTTCTGCAGTTGCAACGCTTGCTTGTTTCGATGCGCCAAACATGGAGTGCGCCTTGCGAAGCTTTCTGTCACTCGCTCCGAAAAGAGGAAAGCTGGCGCTGATGCCAGTATTGCAGACAGCAATGGAATGACCGCGCTGAGCCTCGGCTGCAGTCTCCGGGCCTGAGCCTAGGCCCCTGAGACTTCCCAAATCCATTTTTCGGTGAGAGATCCTTGCGAGGCTTCCCGTTCGAGTCCCAGAGCTTGCGGGACGGGAGGGGCCTGTGGCAGGTTCCCTGCAGCTTTCCGCTGCGACGAGCCGATGCTGCAGCTGCTCCTCTCCTCAAGGGCTGATGCGGCAGCGAAAGCCGAGCGCATCGGCACGGCCCTGATGATGGTGGGGCCCGGCGCTTGCCGCGCTGCGCGCAAGTGTGAAAGCTTGCGGTGGGTGCGTTGCATCATGCAACCCTTGGCTTGGAGGGGTGGTTGGCTTCAGAAACGTGTGAAAAGATGGAAGTTGGAGCCATCATCGTCACCCTCAGAAAAGGTCACAGGCATCGAATGACACTTACTTGCATGGTGTTTTCGGAAATGGGAATTATTACTCCTGAAAGTGGCTTCAGGTGTGTTCTTGGTTTCCCCAGTACCCGTCGATTCCTGACCGCGGCTCATATCCGTAGAGGTTATTCTAAGCTGGTGTCCACTACCCACACCCAGGAAGAATATATATATATATATATTACATATATATATATATAAATAGGGTACCCCCCCCACAAAAAAAAAACAAAACAAACACGCCCCAAGAGAATTTGACAGTATTTGCAGTACTTTTCTGTGATTTCCACCCCCTTTTCAGGCCCTTCAGTTTTGACTCTTTTAAGGCACTCCAACTTTGATTCCCCAAAATGCTTTAAAGCGCTTTAACGCACTTTTGGATTCAAGATTCAAGATTCCCAGGACTCTAGATCTGGAATCTTGAATCCAGTTTCCCCCCAAAATAAATGCTTTAAAGCTTAAAGCGCTTTAAAGCACCTTTGGATTCAAGATTCAAGATTCCCAGGACTCTAGATCTGGAACCTTGAATCCAGTCTGGGCCCCCAAAATGCTTTAAAGCGCTTTAAAGCACTTTTGGATTCAAGATTCAAGATTCAAGATTCCCAGGACTCTAGATCTGGAATCTTGAATCCAGTCTCGGCCCCCCAAAACGCTTTAAAGCGCTTTTAAAGCGTGTTCATCCAGGTGGCTCGTGGATTCAAGATTTAGATCTAGAGTCCTGAGAATCTTGAATCTTGAATCCCAAAGTGCTTTAAAGCGCTTCAAAGCGTTTGGGGGTCCCAGACTGGATTCAAGATTCCAGATCTAGAGTCCCGAGAATCTTGAATCTTGAATCTTGAATCCAAAAGTGCTTTAAAGCGCTTTAAAGCAGTTTGGGGGGCCCAGGCTGGATTAAAGATTCCAGATCTAGAGTCCTGGGAATCTTGAATATTGAATCCAAAAGTACTTTAAAGTGCTTTGAAGCATCTGCTTTCAGCCATTCCTGTTTGTGTGTGTGCACCTTATGAACTTGTGCACGACAAATACAGTTGATAGTTCATCATATGGACATTGGAGAATTCATTCTTCAAGGAATGACTTCAACAAATCCACACCATCCCTTGGATATTGAAAAACACCGTAAATACCAGTGTTTTGCATACGTCCTAGCAGGTTTTGTGCAGAACAGATTTCATTCAGGGAAATTAGTTGTTTTGGAAGAGTGTGGCACTGGTCAATGCATATTAGATGTGTTTTGGTATTTTGGCCAAGGTTTGCAAGCTGACAAGCGAAGGGGATTTGCAGATGAGTTGAGATGAGGGCTAGAAGATGCGTAGCAGATGATGGATAGATAGATAGATAGATAGATAGATAGGTAGGTAGGTAGATAGATAGATAGATAGACAGACAGACAGATAGATAGATAGATAGATAGATAGATAGATATGTACGTATGATAAATAGATAGATAGATAGATGGAGAGAGATAGATAGGTAGGTAGATAGATAGATAGGAATATGTAGATAGGTAGAAATAAATATGAATAGGTAGAGCAAGAAAGAAAGATAGGTAGGTAGATAGATAGCTAGCTAGCTAGTTAGATAGATTAGATAGATAGATAGGTAGGTAGATAGATAGAAAAAAGATAGATAGATCGATAGATAGATAGGTAGGTAGATAGATAGATAGATAGATAGATAGAGACAAATAAATGCAAATGACAAGCAAGAACAAAGAACGAGAAAAATGAAGACATAAAGAAAGACAGACAGAAATAAAAAAAAATAACGAAATAAAGGAAGAAATGCAGAAACAAATGCAAATAAGAAAGGAATGTAGGAAAGCAAGACGAAGAGAAAAAAGTCAAGAACATAAAGTTAAAGATCACTATATATAGTTCTTATAGTTTTGAAACTTCCGCCCACCGGCTTCGCCGGCTCTACTGGTATGGGTGGCTAAGTCTTAATCAGTAGCATCCATCTAAAATGACCTGACTTCCCTTACAGGATTTGGGGGTTGCCCCGTGTTTCCCCCCCCCCCCCCCCCGAGCTGGCATGGGTCGCCCAGGACCCCCCCCCGGCCCGAGACCAGCCCCCGGATCCTGGCACCTACGGTCCCACCCCCACCCCGACCCCCTGAACTCGCACCTCGACACCCCGGCACCCCCACCCCCAGGACAAGCCAACCCGCAACCAACCATAAACCAAGCCTAAACTAACCCGAAACCAACCCTAGATACACCCCAAAACAAAACCCTAAACCGTAGACCTCTAAACCTAAACCATAAGGCAACCCTAAACTAACCCTAAATAAACCAACCCTAAACTAACCCCAAACACACCCTAAACCAATCCCTAAACAATAAACCCTAAACCTAAACCAACCCTAAACCAACCCTAAACTAACCCTAAACCAACCCTAAACACTCCCTAAACCAAACCCTAAACCAAACCCTAAACCAAACCCGAAACCAAACCTTAAACCAAACCCTAAACCAAACCTTAAACCAAACCCTAAACCGTACACTTCTGAACCTAAACCAACCCTAAACCAACCCTAAATCAACATAAACCAACCCTAAACCAACCCTAAACTAACACTAAATACATCTTAAATGTACCCTAAACCAATTCTAAGCCACAGGACCACAGCCACAGGGGGGGTACTTGTCTGACCCATGACCATTGGGGGGGGACTGGCAGCGCTGTACACATACGTATAAACCTGGTTTCCCTGGTTCTTGGGAGTGGTTTGGCTAGTGGAAGCCACAATGGCTCCCTGGCGAGTGGGCTCTGAAATCGTTGTGGTCCGAAGGTCACTAGATTTGCCACAGACAGGCCATGTCTTGTTGGGGATACCTTGTGAATGGGAGATGGTTTCCCTTCAGTTCCCACAAAAAAAAAGCAAACCAGTGGATGGGCAAAATCCGCTGGGCTCCCGTTTTTTAACCCTCCGAAGTTGTTTTTTTAACCCTTCCTTTTTTTCAACCCCCAAACCCTGCTTGGGAACCGTCTGCGGGAACCTTGTTTCTCCAACCCTGAGAAATATTTTCTTTTCAACTTTTCACCTTGTTGTTTTCGCCCTCTGCCTTGTTTTGTTTACCCTCCGCCTCGTTTTTTTCACCCTCCGCCTTGTTTTTTTCACCTGCGAGCTTGCTTGTTTCACCCCGCAACCTTGTTTTTCTCACCCTAAACCTAAAACAACCCAAGCCCGCCCCGCACCCAACCCGACCCAAACCAACCCTAGGCCCGCCCTAAGCCAAACCTTGCCAACCCTCAAACCAGCCAAACTCTAATTCAATCTCAAACCAGCCAAACACGCCCAAACCCACCCCAACCACTGACCTACTCGAAGCCACCCTAAAGCATACAGAACCCACCCGCAACCAATCCCAAACCGACCCTAAACCAACCCTAAATCAACAAACTAAACCAACCCAGCCAGTCCTGAACCCACCCTAAACCCACCCTACACGAACTCTCAACCCGCCCGAACCTTGATCCAACCGTAATCCCGCCCCACACCTTAAGCTTAGCCTAAGCCAACAATAAACCTACCCTAAACCCAGCTAAACCCCAATCCCACCCTAATCTAGCTTTAACGCAACCCCAAGCCCAACCTAAACCAACCCTGAACAGACCCACCGACCCAAAACCAACCCTCAACCCTAAAACGACCCTAAGCCAATCCTAAACCCACTCTAAACCAATCCCAAACCACCTCGAAAACCAACCTTAAAGTCAAGCCCAGCAAAAACCAACCCTAGACCAACCTTGCCCCCACCCTAAACTCGCCCAAAAGCAACCCACACTAAACTCAAAAACCAACCTGGGCCAGCCCTACACTTAAACCAACCATAAGCCCACCCTGTACCAACCATGAATCCACCCTGATCCAACTCTAAGCGCGCCCTGAGACTCTAAGCTGAGCTTGACCCAACCCTAAATCCAGTGAAGCCAACCCTAGGCCAACCGCAAAACCAATCCACATCCAAGCCGAAACCAACCGCAAACCCCACCCTAAACCATCCCAGACCAACCCTGAACCAACCTACATCCAACCCAAAACAAACGAACAACGTACCCTTAAAAACCCTAAGCCCGCCTGAAACCAAGCCACCCCAAATCAACCCTAAGCCACCCTTGAGCGACCCCAAGCCTCCCCTAGCGCAACCCCAACGCCACCCTAGACATAGACACACCGCAAACCCGCCCTGAACCAACCCGACACCAACCCTAAGCTGACCCTACAGCCACCACAGACCTACTCTAGACCACCTAAACCAAACACAAACCCAAAGTCAACCTAATCCAACCCTACACCCGAAGCTGACCCCAAACCCACCTCAAACAGATTCTAAGCCAACACTAAATCCACCCAAATCCACCTTGAAGCCTTTCGACACAAGCCCTAACCCCACCCTAAGCTAACACCACGTAAATGCAACCTTTATCCCAACCCTGACCTCACCCTAAACCCATTCTAAACCCACCCGTAGCCAACCCTAAATCCATCCTAAACCAATCATAAACCCACTGTAGACCCATTCTCCAAGCCACCCTCATCCAACTTTGAGCCCACCACTTACCCAGCACAGACCTGCTCGAAACCAACCTTAAACTTAAACCAACCACAAACTTGCCCTTGCCATCCCAAACCAACCCTAAACCCACCCTCAACAAACCCTACCCCGCCTCTAAACCCTTCCTGCACAAACCTAATCCTGCCCCAAACTGGCCTTAAATCTGAGGTCGCCCAGCCTAAACCAACACAAAACCGACCATAACCCTAAACCCTAAACCCTAAACCCTTCCCATCCGAAACCAACCCGAAACCCACCACCCTAAACCAACCCGAAATCCAAAACCACTCCGAAACCAACCCAACCCTAAACCGTTGCTTAGTGCAGTTGCCGCAGGCGTCGGCCACAGGGTTTGCAAAAAAGAAATGGAGGGTTGAAAGGAAGAGGTGGAGGGTCAGAAAAAAAGGGGGGAGGGTTAAAAAAGAAGGGGGGAGGGTTAAAAAAGACGGGGGAGGGCTAAATTGAAGGGTTGAAAAAACAGGGAAGGGTTGACAAAAAAGGTTTGGAGGGTGAGAAAAAAGGGTTCCCCAAATCTACTTGACACTAATTGGGATGGGTGATACACTGGGCTTCTCACCAATCCCACTCGTTCCTGGTGTGGGTTTTTTACAGTGTGGCTCAGAGGGGAATGTGTCATGAGTCTGGGGAGCCCCACAAAATCATTCTTGAAGGGTGCTCTGTAGGGAATGTGGGAATGAACCCCTTAAAGGAAACCATAAGGGATGGTCTATAGGGCTCATTCCCTTATTCTGCGCCGAGCACCAGCAAGTTTTGGAGCACCCTGTTTCAACCGTCCCGGTGGACCATATGACGCAGGCGGTGGACTCTATGGATTTCAAGCCGAGCGCGGTGCGGCTCTTGCTGGAGCACGGCTGCCCTGCGGATGAGCCCGACGCGAGGGGCGCGACGGCCATAGCCTCGACCGGGATGAGTCAGTGGGTGTTCTGTTGTTGGGGCACCCCCTTTTTCGGGTGGAAGCAAAAGATGTGCTTTTTTAGGGCCCTCCATCTGAGGCACACGCAAGTGGGGATGTCAAACATGAGGGGCCGCCCAAGTTGATTTCCAAGCGGTTTTAGGTTTCGTCCAACACTCGCAGGCAAACTGGGGGTCACATCAACAAGCAACAACTATTCTTATTTGGCTGGTTTTGGGTTGGCTCAATCTTGGTGCCGGAGGAAGCAATAAAAGATTCCGGCCCAAAACAACATTGATCCCCAGTTGCAAGCTGTACGAGGGCATTTCGGCCGCCCAAAAGAATGGCTGGTGTATCTTTTGATGGTGACTTTCGTTTTCTGTCTGGCGGACATTGAACACGTCTGCGGCTGACTGTTTTGTTGCTTCGGGTGTTTAGGGGGAGGGGGGGTCTCAGTCGCCGTACAAACTCTCGCGCAGGCCTTGATGAAGGCAGTGGAAGAGGGCAACGCCGGAATCTCAATGTATTCGACTCAAAATAGGGAAACGGACCCCGCCTTGTCGTCTTCCTCTTGGTTTCCAATAAAGAATCCCGGTGAAAACGAAGCGCGCCTCAAAAACGCACGCCGGTGAAAGTCTTGGTCCGAGGCGGCGGCTGTCCAGGCCTTGCTGGATGCCAAGGCCAACGCGGCGGCCAAGAATCAGGAGGGATCGGCTGCTCGCGGTTCTCCTCCGGGCATGCTTCGCTGCTTTACCCGTTTACATCCGTTTACCCTCTCTCGTTGGGATCTGGTTGGCTTCCATGGAAGCCGGTGGGAGCTTCGTAAAAGTGTCTGATAGGCTATAGGAGTCTTGCCTGATCCGCCTCATTTCCAAGGGAAACTCTTGCGACTTTTCAGGATGCACGATCATCCCTGCAGGAAGGGAAGACGGCGCTGGATTTGGCCAAGCGCAGCGGCAACGCCTCTCTGGAGCAGCGGCTTGGATGTCGCTGGCACGCTTCGCGCCTGATGGCCTTGCATGCGGTGCAAGCTGAGGCTACTCCGTGTGGCTTTCCCCGGCTAGTCCTGTAGCTCGAGAGCATAGAACCAACCGAAGCCGGATTTCGGCGAAGTGGATTGGAGCAAAGGCTGGAGAAGGTCCGCAAAAAGGTATTCTGCTTATCCATTGGACAAGATTGGACATCGCTACTTGTGAGTTGGTCTGTTGCAATGTGCTCACTGGAGGGATGCTCAGACCATGGATGATGGTTGACAGACATGCAGCAGTCCTCAGTCTTAGTTGAGTATGCCAGACGTTCATATAGAAGCCTTGCAAGCAAGAATCCAGGGCCAACTCAGATAGATCCCAGAGCTAGAAGCACTAGGGACATCAAGGCGCACCTTGCCACATATCGAATTCACTTCCCAACGACCCTTCTGCGGCATGAAGCGGCCGCCTGCTCAGTTTGGAAGCTTGAAGCGTAAGCCGCATTCGGCTTGGGTTGAGGTCAGACGCCAAGAGTAAGCGCATGCAAGTAATGCTTGAGAACTCTGCGACGTATTCAGCACGAAGCTCAGAATCTGCGGGCCTTTTGGGGGGGGTCTTTGGGAGGACTCAATTCATTACAGACGGCTTCGTCGAATTCCGAGGACGTGGAATTTCAAGTCGGCCCCGAGGGTGAACGCTTCTATGGCCTGAAGGCCAGTCCGTTGCCAGCAGTTCGCAGGATTGGCCATGCTTTCTATCGAGGAACACCCTCAAAAGTGGGTATATGCACAGAATATGACACAAACCGAATCATATGAAAGATGTCCACCAAAGACAAGTGGGCAGACATCATTTGACACAAATCGAACCATATAGCTGATGTCCACCAAAGGGTCCTATTTCCTATCGAGATTCGTAGCCATCCAGTGGCGCCTCGCCCAGAGTGGCAGTCGGCAATCCGAGGCCATCTTCGCCCGGGCCTCCGAGGTCTTCTCCAAAATGTTTTTTGAGGCAGGTTTCCGGGAGCAGCACGAAGCCACCCCGCGGGTCGTGGCCGGAAGCTCAGGGAAAACCGGCTGTGGGGAGTGCCTGAAAAGGAGGGGACCCTGAAAAATGGCTAAGCAAAAAGCCCTCAACGAAGACGCCCTATTGTGTCCGTGCTTCGGGCAGCGCTTGCTATCAGTTGGGCTTCCAAGCCTCTGTTTTGGGGACGCAGACAGGAAAGGGTTCCAAGAGCTGTCAACTATGCGATCTATGTTTGCATTGGTAGTTGGCTGGTGTCAAGTTGGGAGCTGAGGTCCGCATTGAGGACATCATGCCGGGACCATTTCAATTATTGCACCGTTGGGTGTATGCCTGGGACCCAGACCAGCTGGCCTTTGAAATCAAAACCGATTCGGGTAGTTCTATTTTAAGAGAAACAGGTGCGACTATCCGCCCTCTTGATTCTTTGCAGTGGTTTGGGTACAGCACTTCACTGACAGGTTTGATTGTGACTCAATGGTGTGCTGCTTGGGCCAAGGACATGGATGTGAGCTTGTCCTGCGACACGATTTTTGGCGTGCTGGACGCTGCTCGCAAGTACATGGTGGAGGACGGCTTTCACTGAAAATGGACTGGGTTCGAGGTTCAAGGTGGCATTCACATGATTCAGGGTACCCTCCCTGCTCCAGTCAAGGAAGTTGACAGAGACGTTTTGGAAGCTTGCTGACCTCACTTTCTACCATTAGCTTGATGTCGCGGATTCGATGCATTTTCTCACTTGCTTGGCAGTTGCCCTGTTGCCGTGTCTGGTGCAGGATTTAGAATTGACATGTAGACGGTGGCTGGCCCTTGAAGCTCGATCGTCATCGGGTGCTGTTGGTCTGCGCCTCAAGTGCCGTCTCTTTTTTGTGGGAGCCACAGCCAACGTCGGAGGAGACTTCCGGGGTCGAAGAAGATAGTCAGCGATCTTTTAACATAAACGTTGCTGCCAGATCTTAAGAACTTGTACAGGGGAAATATGGGCCACAATCCAATCCATAGAAGGGGAATCATGCGTGCAGCAAGAAATGCTGTTTCGATTCTTTACCACGGTTTTTTGGGTCGGAATCTTTTCCAGATGTTGACCATGGTGTTCTTGATGTTCAAAGATGTTTGATTCCGGGCTTTTGATCATGACTACAGTGGCCACGGACTTTAGATAAGGAGCCTGGCGGACAGAAATCCCCCCACCATGTCAATGTCAACCAAAAGGGTCTCCAATTCACACGTTTTACCCATTTGGGTTTGGGTCTTTTGTGTTGGGACCAAGTACCTAGTGCTGGTGATGCAGGGCATCCTGGCGATGCAAAATCTACTTCCAGTTCATTTCCCATAATTTTCCAGAGTTTCCCTTTGTTTCCTTCTGTTTCTTCTCATTTCCCTGCAGTTCCCTTCATGTCCTTTCATTCCCTTCATTTTAGCAATTTCTGTGTTTTTGTTCGAACTGAAGGGGGAAGGGACATGATCGGCAATGAAATGAAAGGAAATGAAGGGAAAATGAAGGGGGCTGGAAAGACATGAAGGGGTGAAGGGAAATGAGGGGAGGAAACTGAAGGAATGAAGGGAAATGCAGGAAACTGACGTGAAAGTGGTTGAACTCTTGGGAACTTGAGGGGATTAAGAGAAAGGACTGCACATATGAAGGGAGATAAAAGGACAGTGAAGGTCGGAAGAAAGCGAAGGGAAGGGGAGGGTAGCCGGGAAGGGGGGGGTGCGTCGCGTCAGCATCGAATTAGGTGAGCTGAAACGGGAACCGAAAAACCCGCATTTGGCCATGGGTCAAAATCCCGTACCCCCAGTGAACATCCCAATCCAACCACTAAAATAGGTTCCAACATGGGTGGTGAATTCACCTACCAACCAAAATGGGATCCCAGAACGGTTTTCATCCACAGCCATTTCTTGGTGTTGGTACAAGTACCTAGTTGGCCATGGGTCAAAATCCCGTACCCCCAGTGAACATCCCAATCCAACCACTAAAATAGGTTCCAACATGGGTGGTGAGTTCACCTACCAGCCAAAATGGGATCCCAAAACGGTTTTGACAACCACAGCCATTTCTTGGTGTTGGTACAAGTACCTACTAAGTTTAAGGGGAAACCGAAGAACTTGCATTTGGCCATGGGTCAAAATCCCGTACCCCCAGTGAACATCCCAATCCAACCACTAAAACAGATTCCAACATGGGTGGTGAATTCACCTACCAACCAAAATGGGATCCCAGAACGGTTTTCATCCACAGCCATTTCTTGGTGTTGGTACAAGTACCTAGTTGGCCATGGGTCAAAATCCCGTACCCCCAGTGAACATCCCAATCCAACCACTAAAATAGGTTCCAACATGGGTGGTGAATTCACCTACCAACCAAAATGGGATCCCAGAACGGTTTTCATCCACAGCCATTTCTTGGTGTTGGTACAAGTACCTAGTTGGCCATGGGTCAAAATCCCGTACCCCCAGTGAACATCCCAATCCAACCACTAAAATAGGTTCCAACATGGGTGGTGAATTCACCTACCAACCAAAATGGGATCCCAGAACGGTTTTCATCCACAGCCATTTCTTGGTGTTGGTACAAGTACCTAGTTGGCCATGGGTCAAAATCCCGTACCCCCAGTGAACATCCCAATCCAACCACTAAAATAGGTTCCAACATGGGTGGTGAGTTCACCTACCAGCCAAAATGGGATCCCAAAACGGTTTTGACAACCACAGCCATTTCTTGGTGTTGGTACAAGTACCTACTAAGTCTAAGGGGAAACCGAAGAACTTGCATTTGGCCATGGGTCAAAATCCCGTACCCCCAGTGAAAATCCCAATCCAACCACTAAAATAGGTTCCAACATGGGTGGTGAATTCACCTACCAACCAACATGGGATCCCAAAACGGTTTTGCTAACCACAGCCATTTCTTGGTGTTGGTACAAGTACCTACTAAGTTTAAGGGGAAACCGAAGAACCCGCATCTGGCCATGGGTCAAAAAGAATCAGACTCCTACCTGATCCCCATAGCTGCAGGCCTCTTCTGCGCCGCCGTGGCGGGCCAGCCCCTGACTCGGGACGTCCAAATTGGACGACGTTGCCGGTGCCCGCGCGGGTGTTTTCACGGGAAATTGGGAAAAGGGGTGCAAAAGAGGGTGGGCGGGATTTCGTGCTTCCCGATTTGAGACACACTTGATCCTTGGCATTTGGGATGTGGTTGCCCCCCTTTTGCGGCGCTTCAGCCGAGGTGGTGTTGATTTTTTGAGGGACATGGCTCGCATTTCTGGAAGCACAGGTGGATTCCCTGGTCACAAGCGCTGCGGTCGCGGGTGCGCGACCTGAGTTGAGCTGTTTGGGCTTCAGGGCGCAAACGTAGGGGTGGCTTGTGTGATCCCTAGGGGGTTGCAGTGCTTGAAGAGATAGCCAGTGACACGTGTGACGCAGATGAGGAATCTCAGTGATGCGATTTGTGTTTGTTGAGAGGGGAGGAATGAGAGGCCCATCAGTGAAGAATCAACATGCATAGAATCCGCCGAATCGTGCAGACATCATCCTGCGGGATTCGCGCCTTTTGAATCCATCGATGAACAGTTGCGCACGCATTGAGTGCTGGCCAAACGTAGACAGACGCAGATCCAAGGTTGAGTCTTTTGGAGCAACTGCTTTGGCAGCGTCTCCAAAGGCCTGCCAGCGCAGAATCTGCAAACAGAGTTCCAATCAGGGTGGTGCGACAGCTCCTTTTTCAAGACAGCATGAGCTTTGCTTAAGTGGGTAGCATCGTGGCAATCTTGCTCCGAGTTTGAGAATCTTGGCATTGCTTTTCACAACGAGAGGAGTGGTGCACAAACCCGTTCTTCCCGAGCGGATTCTGGTTTCATTCGCTGCTCAGGCTATTGGCCATTTGCCAGCAGACGCCTTCATGTCCTTGTTAAGTAGCGAGGACCCTGCATTTCTTGCGAGCTGGCCAGCCTGATTTGCCGCGTGTGGTAACAAGTGATGTGAGCCTCCAGGACAAACTGGCTGCTTGTCATCAGAAGGGGATGGAAATCATCAGTAAGATTCCTGATAGCTGCTGCCAGGAAGTTGCTGGCATATCGTTGTTTTGCCGATTGCCCATACGAAAGGCTGCATGCATACTGAAGCATGGGCCGCATGCTATTGCACACAATCCAGGCAGCCCTGCAAATGTAGACGCACGATGGAGATCGTGATCAATCATGCAATGGCTGTGGGTCAAACTTTGGTACCCAACATGGCACCCTGGCAAATGGAAACAAGGACTAACACCTGCAGCCCCCTGGTCCCCTAATGGGCCAATTTGATTTGCTACAACCCTGGTATACTGCAATAGCGCTAATGGCTCTTGTCCATTTGCCGCTTCTTGTGCCTTGCATGCACAAGAGGACCAGCCCACAGTCTTCGTGCTGGTAAACAACCTTTGCAACTCCCGGGGTTTGAAAGCGCGCATGGCAGATCATTTCATTTCCCAGCCCTTGCCATTTCTCTCGGCAGGATTTATGTGTGGAGAGAGAGGAGGAAGTCTTTGAGGCCGTGCAGGCGGGAGCGCCCAAAAGCCTGGCTTCGCCCCCTTGCGCGATCGGCGCGATCGGGCGCGATCGAGCGCGCACCAGGCCTGGGCAGATGCTGCAAACGACCGCGGCGAGGAGCGGTTTCTTGTGGAACGCGGGCGGAGGATTGTGCAAAGCTGGCTTGGTCATTGGATGAAGATGCACCGCATGCGTGATGTTCCAAGCAATGAGGGCCTTGACATCAGCTGGCAGGATCCGGCAGCAGCATGGCAAAAGATTGCGGAAGCTGATGTGATTCACTTCCATTTACTTGAGCCGAGGCTGTGAGAGGGCTGGATGGAGAGAGCAGAGATTGGCGGTGGGCTTTCCTTGACCCGCACATGCATGCCGTCTATGTGCAGGTTCTTTACAGAGAGGGTTGTGTTGCCGCGCCCCCAGCCTCGCGGGAACGCGAGAAACTCGCTCCCCTTTCAGTTGAGAGAAAACCCGAGGCTGGGCCGTTTGACGCAGGAGCTGAGGGGTTAGGCCCTCTGCGTGGCATCCGCAGCTTGTCAGGAGCAAAGCCTCTCTGTCTTTGTCTCCAGAGCCATGGGGGACTGTCCCGCTCGGCAAGCAAGCCTTCTGGCGAGGCGCGTGAACAAATCTCGTGTTGGAGTTGTTTGATGCTGCCTGGATCCTTGCCGGCATGGCTTTAGAGGGAACATGAAGCAAATCATTGGAAGGGTCCTGGTTTTGACACATTGCTGCCTGGACTATCCAAGCACTTGCTTCGAGTCGCCCGAAATTTCGTCGCTAGGCTTCAGTTGATACTTCGAGACTGCAGTTACGAGGACGCCAAAATGAGACCTCGGAAGGCAAACATGTTCGGGGATTTCTGAAGCGAGGACGCCACCTCCATCATTGACAGCATCATCGACCTTAGGCTCCTGGATGTGATCGGTTTGTGAGTCGCTTTGCAGATGGTGCCGTCCGGAAACGCCAGGCATGAGGATACCTACCCGAGAACACTTGCTCACTGCCTTGTACAGAAAGCCCTCAGCTCAGATCGGGAACTCCCTTGCGGTGCACTCAGTAGGTTGATGCAGTCATTAACGTGTTTTGTTCAGTCGGCCTGCCTGCCTGCCTGGCTTGTCTTCAAAGCTGGTGCTTTGCTGTGCTGTGCTTTCCCCTGCTTTGCTTTGCTGCTTCGTGCCATGCTTTGCTGTTCTATGCTGTTCTTTGCCCGTACTCTTGTGTGCTGCACTGTGCTGTTTGCTCCTTTTGTTTTGTTCTGCACATGCTGTCCGTGCCCGCTGCTTTCCTGTAGGTTGGACGATAGGTAGGAATGCAGTTTGTTTGACTTAGATAGAACCTGCTAATTTGTTACTATCTCGCTGGGGGGGCTGGTTTGTTTGTTTCCCTGCATGCTTGCGTGCGCCTTGTCTGTTTGGTTGCTTGCTTGTTTGCTTGCTTGCTTGTTTGTTTGTTTGTTTGTTTGTTTGTTTGTGTGTGTGTGTGTGTCTGTTTGTTTGGTTGCTTGATGGTTTGTTTTGGTGGATTTATGTGTTTCGTGGCTACATTTGTTTGCTCTGTGGTTGCATCGGTTTGCTTTTGTTTGGATTTGTTTGTTTTGCGGGTGGCTTTGCGGGTGGCTTTGCTGTTTTGTTTGAATTCGTTTGTTGTTTTTGTCTGTCTCTGTCACTGTCTTTGCCTCTTTCTCTGTCTCTGTGTCTGTCTCTGTCTCTGTGTTTGTTGCTGTGTCTGCCTCTGTGTCTGCCTTTGCTTTAGCTTGTCTGTGTTTGTCCGTCTCTGTCTCTGTGCTTCTGTGTGTGTGTGTGTGTGTCTGTGTGTGTGTGTGAGGCTATGTCCATGCGTTCTCGTGTGTGTGTGTGTGTGTCTGTGTGTCTGTGTGTCTGTGTGTCTGTGTGTCTGTGTGTCTGTGTGTCTGTGTGTCTGTGTGTCTGTGTGTCTGTGTGTCTGTGTGTCAGCGTGTCAGCGTGTCAGCGTGTCTGCGGGAAACAACACGGCGGGTCACCGCCGAGCTGGCGTCAAAGCTGGACAGCAGCGCCCTGGCGCCCGCAATCGCGCCTCTGGCCATCTGGCCATCTGTCTGTCTGTCTGTCTGTCTGTCTGTCTGTCTGTCTGTCTGTCTGTCTGTCTGTCTGTCTGTCTGTCTGTCTGTCTGTCTGTCTTGTCTGTCTTGTCTGTCTTGTCTGTCTTGTCTGTCTTGTCTGTCTTGTCTGTCTTGTCTGTCTTGTCTGTCTTGTCTGTCTTGTCTGTCTTGTCTGTCTTGTCTGTCTTGTCTGTCTTGTCTGTCTTGTCTGTCTTGTCTGTCTTGTCTGTCTTGTCTGTCTTGTCTGTCTTGTCTGTCTTGTCTGTCTTGTCTGTCTTGTCTGTCTTGTCTGTCTTGTCTGTCTTGTCTGTCTTGTCTGTCTTGTCTGTCTTGTCTGTCTTGTCTGTCTTGTCTGTCTTGTCTGTCTGTCTGTCTTGTCTGTCTTGTCTGTCTTGTCTGTCTTGTCTGTCTTGTCTGTCTTGTCTGTCTTGTCTGTCTTGTCTGTCTTGTCTGTCTTGTCTGTCTTGTCTGTCTTGTCTGTCTGTCTTGTCTGTCTTGTCTGTCTTGTCTGTCTTGTCTGTCTTGTCTGTCTTGTCTGTCTTGTCTGTCTTGTCTGTCTTGTCTGTCTTGTCTGTCTTGTCTGTCTTGTCTGTCTTGTCTGTCTGTCTGTCTGTCTGTCTGTCCTGCCTGCCTGCCTGCCTGCCTGCCTGCCTGCCTGCCCTGCCTGCCTGCCTGCTGCCTGTCTGCCTGCCTGCCTGCCTGCCCGCCTGCCTGCCTGTCTGTCTGTCTGTCTGTCTGTCTGTCTGTCTGTCTGTCTGCGTCCGTGCCTTTGCCTGTCTTTGTCTCTGTTTTGTGGTTGGATGTGTTTGTTTTTTGGTTGGATTAAGTTGGTTTTGCTTGTCCGTCCGGCCGTCGGTCCACCCGCCTGTCCGCTTGTCTGTCCATTTATCGGCTCGCGGCTTGTCCTTTTGCCCATGTCTGCTTGTATACTTTCGTGTCTTTTGCCTTTGGCCAGCTCAGAGGCTTTGGCTGACTACGAGCACTGCAGCGAGTCTCATGACTGCAATATGTTGGCACGACTGCAGCCATGATCCTCGTTCCGACTTCTTCCATCGGCCATTTTATCTTTTGCGCCTAGCGTGCTGTGAAACACAAGCTGGGCAGGAAATCCCAACCAGCTTTTGATGCTTTTGTTGGCATTTGCCAACAAGGCTTGCTCTTCATTTTGGCTACCCTGTTGGCTTGCGGCGATCCCGGCTTTCACTTAGGTGGGTGAGCATGTGGACTGAGCTCTGGGGTGCTCTCAGGGCTGCAGGCCTGCGTGATGAATGTGTCAGCTTCTCAGCCCTGGATGAGCAATCCCTGCCTGCGAATCTCAATAGCAGCCGCATGATTACATCCCCCTCATGCCGCCCGCTTTTCGATATGCAACGTCCAGCAGCTGCTACTATTCTCCATTCAACAACTCCATCGGAAGCCTTCGACGATTGCAGCTAACCTTCCCAGCCCAAGACGTTCTTTTCCGTTCAGCGCCCCCAAAGATCTTGAGTCATCTTGAGTCTTGAGGTTCGCGCCACCGTGGATTATTGCCCGCAGCTGAGCCCTTCCTGCGCCCCAAGCTCTGCCGGCTTCGGGCCGAGGCCAAAACCTCTTTGAGGAGGAGCCATCTTTGGAGAATTTAGTGGGTGTATGGATCTGCCCATACGCCCGGATCTTGGGAGAGCTCGTGGGCGGACCTCTGGCAACCCGAATTGAGTTGCTTCCAATGAGCGGCTGACAACCGAGGCAACATTTGCTCAAGCAGCCATGGCTTCCTTAAGGTGCAAAGGAGAATGTTGGAACAAAAGTGGTTTGAACATGTTTAATAAAACAGGGGTTGACTTCATCTGGAAACCGTGCCTCCACTACGTTCCTTCGAACGTGTTGCACGCCTGGACCAAGGACACGCTCGGTTTGGTCCGAGCTGGGACCTTGAGCGATGTCGCTTGGGTGTTGGGGCAAATTTGGTTCGAACCCAAGCACCTTGGTCCCCTTCCAACCGAAACAACAAGGGGGGCTTAATCAACTATGTTAAACAACAAGGGCTTGTCCCACCCTGGTGCTGCTACGCGATTTTTTGGAACCAGTGCCACACTCAATTCAGCAGATCACTTGGGGTAGGACGCTGATCAGCTCTTCACTTGGGATACACAATCATTCTCAGAGCAGTGGCCCTTGTTCTTAGGGAACCGCCATCTGCGGAGTTACTGAGGTGTTGTGCAAGTTGAACGACTCTCGCAAGCTTGCAGTGCTGCCGCTGATGAAGGTTTTAGAAGCCCTGGCCGGCGCCCGAGAAGTCTTAGACGCCTGTGGGAGCCCAGCAGGCTGAAAATCATCCCGTGTGAGAGAGAAGCATGTTTTTCGTCATGCTTTTCAAGGAAATCAGGAACCTGAAGGCCCCCTAATTTTGCAAAACTGCCAGAAAGGCTCGGCTCCAGAGTCGCACCATCCGATTTCCGCCCATTTTCAGCACACAGTCCCACACACCTAATGGTGTGTCGTGTTCGAACATCTCGAGCAAACTTGGGGCACGGAACTCAGGTGCGGAAAGCCGAAGAATCAGCGCCGCAGGGGGGCAGTACCTGTTGCCCTGCTGCAGCTGCAGGGGTCCCGATGAGCACTGCTTGGTTGTGTTAAAACCGGGCGGGTGCGGGGGGGGGTGCCCAAAATCATTGGTTTCCTTTTGGCTTTGCTTTAAAGCAGAAAGAAGGGTAGCCATGTGTTACCCCGGGTCCATGGAGCCCACCAGAAGGTCTTTGGAGATCCAAGCCGTCTGCCTTACGTCAGGTTCCATGGAGGGTGTAACATGCGCATGGGCTGACATTGTGCCGTTGCGATCTTCCAACTCTCTTGCGTCCGACATCTGAGGCGAGAGAGCTGGCGACGCATCTGGAAAAGGCGCCGGAACCGAGACACACACACACACACCGAAACAAGCAAAAACACAAAAACACACAAAAGCACACACACGCACACAAAAAAAACACACAAACACACACAAACACACAGAAACACAGAAACACAAAAACACAGAAACACAAGCACCCAAACACCCAAACACACACACACACAATCACACAAACACACAAACACCCAAACACACAAACACACAAACACACAAACAAACACAAACACACAAACCCACAAACACACAAACACACAAACACACAAACACAGAAACACACAAACACAAAAGCACACAAACGCACAAACACACACACAAACACACAAACACACAAACACACACACAAACACACACACACACACAAACACACACACACAAACACACACACACACATACACCCAAACACAAAAACACACACACACAAACACAAACACGCAAACACACAAACACACAAACAAACAAAAGCACAAAAACACACCCAAACACCCAAACACACAAGCACCCAAACACACAAACACACAAATACACAAACACACCCAAAACACACAAACACACAAACACACAAACACACCGAACCACAGAAACACACAAACACCCAAACACACACACATCCAAACACACAAAAACAGAAGCACAGAAAAACTCAAACACACAGAAACACAGAAACACAAACACACGCAAACACACACACACACAAGCACGCAAACACACAAACACACAAATACACAAACACAATAATACCCAAACACCCAAACACACAAACACACACACACAAACACCCAAACACACAAACACCCAACCACACACAAACACAAACACACACAATCACACAAGCACACAAACACACAAACACACAAACACACAAACACACACCCACACACAAACACAAACACGCAAACACACAAGCACACAACCACACACACAAGCACACAAACACACAAACACACAAACACACACCCACACACAAACACAAACACGCAAACACACGAACACACAAACTCACACAAACACAAACACACAAACACACAAACACCCAAACACATATATGCACACAAACACACAAACACACAACTACACAAACGCGCACACACACAAACAAAATAGAAATACGCACACAAACGCACAAACACACACAAACACACAAACACACAAGCACACAGGAACACAAACACACAAACACCCAAACACACACCACAATCACACAAACACACAAACACCCAAACACACAAGCACACAAACACAGAAACAAACAAAAACCCACAAACACACAAACACACAAACACCCAAACACACAACCACCCAAACACACCAACATACAAACACACAGAAACACACAAACACAAAAGCACACAAACACACGAACACACAACCACACACACAAACACACACACAAACACAAACACACGAACACACAAACACCCAAACACAAATATGCACACAAACACACATCACAAACACACAACTACACAAACACACACACACACAAACAAAAATAGAAACACACACAAACACACAAACACACACAAACACAAACACACAAACACACAAACACACAAACACACAAACACACAGACACACACACACACACAGGAACACAGAAACACACAAACACCCAAACAGACAAACACGCGCAAACGCACAAACACCCAAAAACACAAACACACACAAACACAAGCACACAACCACCCAAACACACAAACGCATAAACACACACACAAGCACACAAACACACAAACACACACACACACAAACACACAAACACACAAACACACAAGCACACAAACACACAAGCACACAACACACAAACACACAAGCACACAAACACACAAGCACACAAACACACAAGCACAACAACACACAAAAACACACACACAAACACCAAACACACACACAAACACACAAACACACACAACACACAAGCACACAAACACACAGAACACACACAAACGCATATAAATACATACATACACAAACACCCAACCACACAAACACACACACACAAAAACAAAAACCAAACACACACACACAAACACACACACAAACACCCAAACACCCAAACACGCAAACACACAAGCAAACACACACACACACGCACACAAACACACAAACACACAAAACACACAAAAACACACACACAAACACCCAAACAGAGAAACACACAAACACCCACACACACAAACACCCAACCACACACAAACACAAACACACACAATCACACAAGCACACAAACACACAAACACACAACCACACAACCACACACAAACACAAACACACGAACACACAAGCACACAACCACACACACACACTCACATAAGCTCAAAACACACACACAAACACACAAACACACAGTTATACACACCAACACACAGAAACACACACACAAACGCACAAATACAAGACACACACACAAACACACACGCACAGAAACACACACAAACACACACACAAACACAACACACAAACACACACAAACACACAAACACACACACAAATACCCAAACACCCAAACACATGAACACCCAATCACACAAACACACAAACACACAATCACACAAACACACAAACACACACACAAGCTCAAAACACACAAAGACACAAACACACACAAATATAC